CCCCCTCCTGGGGGCTAGAATTTTGGCTTCCCCCCTCCCTTTTTCAGCACATCCATCCCTCTGCAGAGCCTGGACAAACTCAAAGCACCCCAAGCCTCCATCCTCTGGCAGAAAGTTGGAGGTGATCAACCACCACGTGTCCCTTGGTCATCTTTAGTGCTGCAACTCCTGAAAAGGGGCAGGGGGTGGGGGGGAATGATGGTCCCAGGTCCCTCTCACCCTCTTCTCATGGTGTCTTCTGCTGCTGTCCTCCTCCTGCCCTCCTCACAGGCTGGGCTTGGTGGTCCATGGAGTTGAGGGTGGTGCAGAACATCCTCCTCTTTGCTTTTTGGGGTGTGGGGAGGGACTGGGAGCTGTTGAGGTGGGGATGCACCAGTGACACTGAGCACTGGGATGGTTTGGCGCTGGTGGTTGATGGGTCTCTTCTTCCTTGAGAAGTGTTTGAAAAGCAACAGCAAACCCTGAGCTGATGTTTCCACAGAGACTTTGCCCGGTTCTGAGCTCTCCTTCCCCAGAGGTGCCACTGGGCTCCCAGCCTGACACTGGGTGAGCGTGGTTGGGCCTGTCCTGCTCCTCTGCCCCGTGTCCCACCACCTGCATCACCTGCTGCCAGACCATCTTCTTACTGGAGTCTGTGGGAGAGCTGGGGAGGGACTCTGGGTCAGGGAGGGGAGCCCTAGGAGGAGGGGGAAGGGTTTGACCCTGCAAGAGGGGAGATGGAGCTGAGATGTGGGGAAGAACTTGTTTGGTGTGAGGGTGGTGAGAGCCTGGCCCAGGTTGCCCCGAGAAGCTGTGGCTGCCCCATCCCTGGAGGGGTTCAAGGGCAGGTTGGAGGGGGCTTGGAGCAACCTGGTGTGGTGGGAGGTGTCCCTGCCCAGGGCAGGGGGGTGGAATGAGATGATCTTTAAGGTCCCTTCCAACCCAAACCAGCTCCAGCTCTGCTCCCAGCCCGGGGCCACTGAACAGGACCCCACCACCACCCAGGCTTGGGGAGAAAATTGGCCTCCTCTCCCCACCAATTTGTCCTCATTCACCAGCACAAAGGACCCTCCCTGGCCCTGTGGTGCGGTTCGGTGGCTGCCGGTTTTAAAAGACCCTTTTCTGAAGGTTACAATCAGAATAATTGGGGAAATCCTGATCAGTCTGAGCCCTCGCACCAACAGGGGGACGGGTGATAAATTGATGGAGGGGAAGAAACTTCCCATTTTACAGGAAATTAGTTTTTTGGCTCGGGGCGTGAAAACGTTTGATTTTGGAGTGTGTCCAATCACTGCTCCCTCCCACGCTGCCGCTGGCTCCTCCCCACCCCCCCAGGACCCCGTGACCCGGGGGGGAGGGGGGGGGTTAATCTGTTTTCACACCCGTCGTTGCTAAATTTAGGGCAGAGAGAGCACTGATTTGGGCTTTCTGACCCCTTTATTTTTTGCCCTGGCTTTGGAGCCACCCTGCACCTCCCCAGGCAGCGTCGGCCACCGCAGGGAGCCAGGGGGGCACCTGGGTCACACTGGGGTCCCCGTCCTGGACATTTTGGGGGCTCTTCTGGCTCTTGCACCTCTTTAACCCTTCCTTTACCCTACAGTGTTTCAGCAGCAGCGGGGCTGGGGATTTGGGGCAGAAAATGGTGAAAGCAAGGAGTACATATATTTTTTTTATTATTATTACCGTCCTGGACATTTTGGGGGCTCTTCTGGCTCTTGCACCTCTTTAACCCTTCCTTTACCCTACAGTGTTTCAGCAGCAGCGGGGCTGGGGATTTGGGGCAGAAAATGGTGAAAGCAAGGAGTGTATATATATATTTTTTTTATTTTATTTTTTTAGTTTAATTTAATTTAGCACTGAGTACGTACCTGAGGTTGGAGAGCAGGGTGACAGCTCTGTGTTTCTTGTCCTGGACCCTCCTTGGGTCTGGGCATCCTTCCCACCACGGCAGCGAAGGTGTTTAGGGACCAATTCCATGGTTTTTCCCTGCAAACTCCTGCTCCGATCCCCAGGGAAGGATTTGGACTGAGCGGTGACACAGCGGGGCCCAGCCTGGGCAGCTGCCCCACGGCCAGTGGTCACGGTGGGGCCTCCTGGGAGAGAAACAGCCAGGTCCATGCGGGTCCCACTTTGGTTGAGCCCTAGCATGGCTGTTGGTCGCTTCTGAAGAAGGGGTGTGAAGAGACCCATCACATCAGCCAGGATCCATCACATCAGGGGGGTCTGTCATGTCAGCCAGGGCCTGTCACACTGTCTGGGGACCATCACATCAGCTGACATCACATCAGGGGGGTCTGTCATGTCATCCAGGGCCTGTCACACTGTCTGGGGTCCATCACGTCAGCTGGGGTCCATCACATAAGCCAGGAACTATCACATCAGCCAAGGTCCATCACATCAGCTGGGTCTACACATAAACCAGGATTCATCACGTCAGCCAGGGTCCCTCACATCACCCGGGATCCAATACAGCAGCTGGGGTCCATCATAAGCCAGGATCCATCATGCCAGCTAGGTTCTGTCATGTCAGCCAGGGTCCACCAGGACACCCAGAGTCCATCACATCAGCTGGAACCTATGACGTTGGCCATCATCCATCTTGTCAGCCAGGGTCCACCAGGACACCCAGAGTCCATCACATCAGCTGGGGACCATCACATCAGCTGGAATCTATCACGTTGGCCACCGTCCATCACATCAGCCAGGATCCATCACATCTGCTGGGGTCCATCATGACATCAAGGGTCCACCTCAGAGGCCAGGATCCATCATGTCAGCTGGGGTCCATCACATCAGCCAAGGTCCATCACACCATCTGGGATCCATCACATCAGCCAGGGTCCATCACATCAGCTGGGTCTACACATAAACCAGGATTCATCATGTCAGCCAGGGTCCATCACAACACCCAGGGTCCCTCACATCACCCGGGATCCAATACAGCAGCTGGGGTCCATCATAAGCCAGGATCCATCATGCCAGCTGGGTTCCATCATGTCAGCCAGGGTCCACCAACACACCCAGAGTCCATCACATCAGCTGGGGACCATCACATCAGCTGGAATCTATCACCTTGGCCACCTTCCATCACATCAGCCGGGATCCATCACATCTGCTGGGGACCATCATGACATCAAGGGTCCACCCCAGAGGCCAGGATCCATCATGCCAGCTGGGTTCCATCATGTCAGCCAGGGTCCATCACAACACCCAGGGTCCCTCACATCACCCGGGATCCAATACAGCAGCTGGGGTCCATCATAAGCCAGGATCCATCATGCCAGCTGGGTTCCATCATGTCAGCCAGGGTCCACCAGGACACCCAGAGTCCATCACATCAGCTGGGGACCATCACATCAGCTGGAATCTATCACGTTGGCCACCGTCCATCACATCAGCCAGGATCCATCACATCTGCTGGGGTCCATCATGACATCAAGGGTCCATCATGACATGAAGGGTCCATCATGTCAGCAAGGGTCCATCACACCATCTGGGGTCCATCACATCAGCCAGGATCCATCACGTCTGCTGGGGTCCATCATGACATCAAGGGTCCATCATGACATCAAGGATCCACCTCAGAGGCCAGGATCCATCATGTCGGCTGGGATCCATCATGTCAACGAGGGACCATCACACCATCTGGGGTCCATCACATCAGCCAGGATCCATCACGTCTGCTGGGGTCCAATACAGCAGCTGGGGTCCATCCTAAGCCAGGATCCATCATGCCAGCTGGGTTCCATCATGTCAGCCAGGGTCCACCAGGACGCCCACTGGAACCTATCATGTTGGCCACCATCCATCTTGTCAGCCAGGGTCCACCAGGACACCCAGAGTCCATCACATCAGCTGGGGACCATCACATCAGCTGGAACCTATCACCTTGGCTACCGTCCATCACATCAGCCAGGATCCATCACGTCTGCTGGGGTCCATCATGACACCAAGGGTCCATCATG